GCAAGACTTTGCAAGACTTGCAAAGACTCTTTGCACGCACGGCACTTGATTATATTTCTTCCACGGTTAGTTTGTGGTGCGCACAACAATGTTCCTGGTTATTACTTCTCGAAAATTACTCTTAAAAGTAGCAGTGATTTATCACAGATTACACGCAAACTGGTCACTAAAACGAAAAGTGGGAGTCGAGAGCAACGATATGAATATGTGACAATTTATTACACTAGTCAAGAATTGATTTTATTCTATTAATTTTATTATATCTTATATAAAGTTGTACGATTTACCCCGCGACCCTCTGAACATCGGTCCCCGCCACGCCGTCCAAGCGGCGATTTTTAGCGTTGATTCCAAAAATTATTCCTTCTGTTCAGCAAGATCAGTTCAATTTCCCCTGGAAAAATTGAACTTTCCTAGCGAAAAATCAATTGAACGAAGGAGAAAAAATGAGGTCATTCTTGGATTTAACAGCCAAAAATACGGAAATAACCGTGCTTTTCATGCAAAGTAACATTTCTTCTCTGTTTCTAATATCAAATTTCTTCCGGTCAAATGCCCTTCCGACCATACACAAACAGGTGCAGCTCATTCGATCGTTTTGCGTCGGAAAGGAGGGGAACATGTTTTTTTTCAGGTTTCAGATAGGGATGATCCCGACCAATTTTCGCTGCCAAAGTCGAAAATGGCCTTCGTTTTTTCTCCCAGAACCTACCAAATTTTTGGAAAATTCAAATTTTTCAACTCGGAAAACCCTCAATTTCCGGAAACTTGATTTTCCGAAGGTTTTAGACATAACGGAGGTCAAATTTGGTTTCAGCGGAAAAAATTGGGTGAGAACATCCCAATTTGGAACCTCAGAGAGACAATTTCCCCCCCTCTTTCCGACGCGAAAGAATCGGATAAGCCTTACATGGTGGTGCTTTGCCAAGCAGGGGCATTCGACCGGTGGAGGGACAAACAGGGACGGATTTCCCACAAGGCAGCTGCCTAGGGGCGCAAAGTTTTGAGAGGCGCAAAATTTTGAGACATATGCATTCTTTTTTAGGGGCTCTAGAATTGAAATCGGTAAAACAATTTAAGGACGAAGAAAGAGGCGCGCGAAAAGAAGAATATCTGTGAATCTATCCTTGTCTACTGATAAGGTTCGTGAAATCCGCGCCCCCTGCATTAGTGAGTAAAATTTTATTTTTACTGTTTTCAACTTTTTCTCGCCTTTGTTTAATTTTGCTTTGTTTTAATTCCCTATGCCTTTTGAAAATTAAGGTTAAATTAATATTAGAGTCTTTTCAACCAACATATTTTTCTCTTAAATAACCTAAAAGTAGCTTTAAATTGCGTTTGTCAAATGCCGATTGCCGGTTTTTAAAAATTTTCCGGGGGAGGACCCCCGAACCTCCCTTTTGACTGAGGGTAATCCCCCACATGGTCGTCCGTCCTGCGAGAGGCGCGACTCTAAGATTTGCCTAGGAGCGCTAAAATGGTAAATCCGTCCCTGGAGACAAAGGGAATAAGGGGATGGAAATAAGGACAAATGAGTGGACGAACACAGGAGCCTGCACATCTCAGTATCGGAGAGGAGAACAGGACGCACGTAGGTGTAACCTAGGAAACATGCGATATGTATAAATTGAATTCGTAGAACCGGAAAAATGTCGATGTTAGGGACAGAGGAACATTTAGTAGACATGCAATATCTTGGTAGCCGAAGTATTTTCGGTTGCAGAATCCGGAGATGAACTTAGTTTTTTTCCACAAAAAGATATGCCGGGAAAGTGACTTTTCTCCGGAAAAACTCGCTTTTTACTTTCTTGCTCCTGTAATTCATACTTTAGTCGTCGATTGGAGGGGAGGGAGCAACTCTAGAATTGAAAATAGTATCATCTGCTCCCTCCCCCTTTCCCCAGAAATTTTGGACAGTGGAAAAAAATCTTCGACGAGGATGATTACCCCTCTTCATGTAGAGTCTTTAAGGAAAGCACGGTGTTCATTCAGTTAGTATATTTTCTAAAATTTTCGTCATGGAAGCCTCCAAACGCGTTTAATAGAGGTAAAATTCCAAAATCTTCAAGATGAAGATGCAACAATGGAGATGTTGCATGTGTGAGGGATTTGCGATTTGACTGTTGTTTCTTCTGTAAAAGTTTGCGAGAACTACGATGGTGCCACTGGTTTTCTCTGAAATCATCTCCCAAGCTCAAAAAAAGCTTTCAAAGTGAGGCAAAAATGGAGAGAATATCCCGTCTTACCCTGAGAGTCCACCTCTACATCAAGGCAAACTCTCTATGCAAAGATAGGGAGCAAATACATTGACAGGGCTGCCACTTCATTTGGGGACTCCAAAACTGAAAACACGGCAACCCTGCTACAGGGCCGGATGAAGGGGGTGGCCACATGGGCCGCGGCCCATCCCATGGGGGCAATTCAATGGGGCGGCAAATTTTGCACTTTTTTTTAAAAAAATCGGATTTTGAAAAAAAAAATTACAAATGAGAAAAGGCGACAAAGTCTCTGATTTCCTGAGAGTACAGTAATTTTTAATTTTGTCTTCTTTCAGTGATACAAGAGACAGCACCTTTAATTAGTCCAGTTAAGAGAGAAACCAAACACGCAATTTGGCCTGGAACGGCGCGACTTGGAGAGAAATGATGACGAGGACTTGAGATGAAAAGGAGAAGCCCTCGGCGCGGCGATCGATTGGCATGTAACACATATTAGCGCCTACAAGACTGCACGAATACTTCACGCATTGCATCAAACACAGTGCGGTCACTGCGGTCAGTGTCAGCGTGAAACGCTTAGCACCTACAAGACTGCGTGAATACTTCACGCATTGCGTCAAACACAGTGCGTCCAGCAGCGCAGCGGTCGGGGTGAAACGCATAGCGCCTACGAGACTGTCGGAATACTTCACACATAGCGCTAAATACAGTGCAGTCTGCGCGGCGCGGCGGCGAAAGTTAAAATCATTAAACTACATTTATGTTTGTTCTTTCGTAATTTGTTCGTTCATTTCTTATGAATGGAAGGCCTTGTCCACACAGAGATAGGTTTACGGAACTTAATTTTCGCGCAAAGTTCCGTGAACTTTTGCTAGCAGTTGCAGTGCGTTAACAGGGCTTTCCTAAAAAATGTGTCCAACACGAGTAAACGCGTCTTATGCACCTCTCCCCCGCTATTGATATTTCAAAACGAATGAGAAGGGGGCGGCAAAACACAGGCGGCCCATGGGCGGCAAGTTGGTAAATCCGGCCCTGCCCTTCTAATGTATTTGCTCCCTAACTTTGAATGGAGAGTTTGTTTTGATTTAGAGGTGGACTCTCAGGGTAGGGCGGGATATCCCCTCCATTTTGGCCTCACTTTGAGAGCTTTTTTCAGCTTGGGAGATGATTTCAGAGAAAACCAGTGGCACCATCGTGTTTCTCGCGACTTTTACATAAGAATTAACAGTCAAATCGCAAATCCCTCAAACATGCAACATCTCCATTCGATAATTTTTTTTTTTTTTGCTGAATGTATAAAAAAGCGTAATTATTGTGCAGAAATTGATGGAAAATCTGCGTTGTATAGAAGCATCATAATGCCGCCTATTAGATTTAATACTTCCAAAATTTTCCGGGATAGGCGGAGGCCCCCGGACCCCCTTTGATCTGGGAGGTATTTTATTCCTTCCGGTGGTAGGATCGGTAGGGGGCCAGTGGCCAACCCCGCCCTATATATCAAAATGCTGGGTGCGCCTATCACAGGCGCGTATATTCGGCATAATTGTACGTACCAGATCTAAAATAATTCCAATCAATTCGAAGGACACGATCAAAAGATATTGCTCGAAGTCGTCTTCAGTATTTTTCAACGTTCTCATTAAATTATGTACCTGTTGTCTCCTAAATCAAAGAAAATGTAGATAATTACTTTTAGTCAAAAAGGCGACTTTTTTGGTGTTTGAAACATTAAAAAAAAACAACAAGCCAAAAAAATTAGGGAGGAAAAAAAACACACGTTCCCTCCTTCGTTTTTTTCGTTTTCCCACGTTTGATTTTTTTTCTCGAGACGGCTCTGTTTATTTTAGAAACGACATAACGTTAATCTACCTGTGCATGTAAGTGCTTATGCATGAGTCAGATAAATAATTTTTACAGAATTCACTTTTTACTAAATTCGAGATAAATTTTTGACACTGGCTCCACTTCAGCTTGCATCTTCTGTCTCTGTTTTTTAGGGATAGAATGATTCGATGAAGTCAAATCAGTTTCATTTGATGGGCTCGGAGGACAAGGCGCAAACGTGAAGTTTTTGGAAGAAATGAGATATTAGTGATTTCAAGTAAAACAGTCTTAATGCATACTCTGCGAAAAGTTCGCTCCCGAAATTCCGATTTTTAAGTATCAACAAGTCAGTTTGAACTTTCTTTCCGGTATAAGGATCCATATAATTTCAAAACTTCAAACACGTATGTCTCGAAATAGCGAAAACCACACTTGTACATCTTAGAGTACCTTTATAGACAGTACACCTTAGCCTCCAAGCCCCTCATCTATAAGTATCAAAATGTCATACTATAAACATTCCTTACCGTTCCCAATCGGAGTTGGAGTCATTCAAACTGTAAATTATAATATCGGCAGAACTATTCTCATAGGTGGGAATTACCGTCGTCAAAGCTGTTACAATTCCACTAATTGAGGATGGATCTGTTCGAAACGTTAAAAATATGCATCATTAAGTTTACAGAAGTGAAAAAATTAATTAACAAGCATTGAATTACATCGAAATATACTTATTTAACCAGGAATAAATTCACAGTGCTCCCACTGAGGGAATGTTCCAATACTACCAAGCAACTTTGGTGTACGTTTGTACCAGTGGCGAGGTGTGAATGATCAATTATCGACATTTCCCCATTTGAAGCTACGGTAAAGAATCGATTATTGAGGTATTCGTTGCAAGTGACCTGCTTATCGATATTTACCCGTAGTTATAAATCGCAGATCAATCGATATATCGCGACCCTGGTAAAAATTGGCAGTAGAATCTGTGTTCCAAAATACCATAGACCTACAACCGGCTGTAAGATTTCCAATAGCTTCTGTAGCCGGCAACACAATGTCTTATAGCCTTTTATAGCCGATGGCGACTAAGCAACAGCCTGGCGATAAAGCGTATGCTAAACGTTACTAATAATTACGGATGCTAGGACTTAGTGAGTTTTTCGACTACCGCTCTCTTTTTGGGCGCGCAGTATCTTGATTTAATTTGCGAGGAAAGCTCCGTTCTTTTGAAGGATGCCTGACATTCCTAAGATGTTGCAGCGCCTTCAATTTCATACATCTGGTGTGAAAAAGTTGCTTCAAGCGCCGCGGTACGCTGCGGCGCGGCGCGGCGGACGGGCAGCCAGCGCTGAACGCGCATTGGCGCCTGCAAACCTAACAGGGCTACTTCACGCATTGCGCAATGCGTGAAGTATCCCTGTTAGGTTTGTAGGCGCCGGTGCACCGCCGCCGCTCCGCTTTGTGTTAGGCTCTTACATTTAATCTCGCGGAGTCAGCGTTTTTCAACTCATGACTTTGAAATGTTTGCACACTCTGTATGGATTATTCTCATTTTAATTGAAGAAAAAAAATATGTAGTAAAGGAAAATATAATGTGCGTTTTGTAAATATTAAGGTGATTCCGTACAAACTTAAGGATTTACAAAGCACAAGAATTTCTACAAAATTTCTTATAGCCTTTTATAGCCCAAGGCAAAAAAGCAACAGCCAGGCGATAAAGTGTAAAGCCCGGCGATAGGAACTATAGCCCGGGTGTATAATTTTTTATCGCTTCGTGTAGCCCGGCCGTAAGATTTTTTCCACTTTCTACAGCCAGCTATATGATTTTCTATCACCCTCATCAGTCGGCTATAAGAACTCCTACACTCTCTTCTAATTTTCACCGTAAAAAGAGCAAAAATAACTACCCTAATACCAACGATATAGAATCTAGGACCATGGGTTTTTTTTCGGTAAAAAGAAAAAAGGAAAATAGGACTAAATATAATGTCGCAACGTAATTTCCCGTGATTTCAATTAAAATCGATCCTAAAGTTATTGAAAATAATTTATGAAATAATCTGTGCGTATCTTTTAAAGCATATTGAATGAAACTGAAGCATTCACCGTGGTTTGAAACGTTGCAATCGAGGTAAATAAGCTCCTTTTCGCGTGGAACCATCGATATTTGAGTTCGTTTACGCCAGGCGTGACATACAACTATTTGACCACGGGTGTAAGCATGTTGCGGCTCCGCCGGATTGAAGGCGCGTCAAACTGCGAAGATGTCTTGACTGCCCTGCCGACCTTCCTTGGCGGTTCGAACGCTAAAATCGCTGCGACACTTCGACGACGCGTCATTATTTATAGTATTTTGAAACGCAGCTCCTATCGCCAATTTTTACCAGGGGAAGCACGCCACGCCTCTGGTTTTTACTAATTTATTTAGAGGCATGTTACTGAATCCAAACAAACCAAATGATCTTTGTAAAATTGAAATATTCTTTGTAATGTAACTAAGTTCTTCCTTTTGTTAAAAAAAAGTGTGAGATGTTTAAAGTGTGTTTTAAAAGATGAAAGAACCAGGGTGAGAGTTAATTTCAAAAACCAAAAGTGCACTGGATGACGCGGGGGCGCGGGTTCCGGGGGCACGAGCCTCTCGATTTTTGGAATTTTAATACGTGCACATGAGTGCTAAGTATGTTTTTGTGCAATTTAGTGCCGCATTATTTAATTTACTCTTTTCATTGTGTGAGCAATTTGATTTGACAAACTAATTTAGCAGAAGTAATTACATACCTAATATAAAACACTTAAACAATAGGATAACCCTGCTAAAAATGGTGAGTACAAACGAGTAGAAAATCAAAGTCATATGAATAGAATTTCAATTCATATGAATAGAATTTCAACTCATATGACTAGAGATTTCAACTTACACTAGTTCAGCGTTGAATCTACCGTGTCCGATATCTCAGAAACTGGTCACCGCATCAAAAAAAGTATAAGACAAAATGTTCTTATTTTTCAAATTTACACAGTGTGACGGTATCTCTTGATCAAAAACACCACTTCGGAAAAATGAAAAAAATTGAATTCATGTGAGTTGAACATGTCTACTCTTATGAGTAGAATATTCTTGTGATATGAGTAGGATTTCTACTCATATAAGTAAGAAATTCGACTAATGTGAGTCGGCGAATTCTGAATAGCCTACTCATCAATTTTAGCAGGGAAGTTAACAAAGAAAAATCGGAAATTTGGATCGGGCTATTAAAGATCGGAATGTGCAAGGCAGGAAAGCTATCGCGATGCTAAATGGGGTTCTCTGGGACCAGAGTATCTCCAAGGAGACCAAAAGGAAAATTTACAACGTCATCGTGAAGAGTATCGTAACTTACGGGAGTGAGGTCTGGCAACTCAAGAAAAGAACTGAAGACATGCTTAGGGCAACTGAGATGGACTTTTGGCGGAGGTCTGCTGGCATCTCAAGAAGAGAGCGTATCCGCAATGTAAAAGTACGCGAGATCATAGGTGTGGAGAAGGACATCGTGCACGATATCAGGTCCAAGCAGTTGGTCTGGTATGGACATGTGCGAAGGATGGCAGACGACCGGTTGCCCAAGCAGGTCTTCGATTGGGTTCCTCCCGGAAGGCGACGGCGTGGACGTCCTGTGAAAGGTTGGCGACAAGGGGTGGAGGAGGAGATCAGAAGGTGCCAATTGCCTGATGATCTCTGGGAGGATAGGGGGCAATGGCGATTGGGCGTCGCAGAGCGCGAGGCGGCGCTTTAAAAGCGACTTTATGTATGTAGTTAACAAAGAATGACCTTGTTCATTGATCAGCAACTAGAACTTTTGAATGCCTGGATTATTGGCATCGAGAGTCCGTCCCTGAGAATTCCCAAGGATGCAAGATAACACCTTCATTCCGACAAGTAGGCAAAATACATCCCACTCACGTGTCAAAGTAGTCGTCTGAGGTTTAAACTGTGCGAATAAGAGGGAACAGCTTAAATCTAATTGTTATACTACATTTTATGACATATTTGAGCAGGTACCAAATTTTAACCTATGGATGAGTCGTAAATAAGTGTGGCGCTCCTCCAAACAATACTCATGGATGTCCTCAAATCAAGAATTAATTGCGAAAGCTCCGACCCAGTTTCTGCCAAAGGCATCGTGACTCCGCTGGATTCCGGTAGACGTGGACAGTCGGATTCTGTTTTAAAAATAAACGGAATCATTATAGTTTAATTACACAAATAATGGCCAATAGCAGGTTTTTTACCATGTCGTATATCATTTTTTAAATATGAAGTAGGAGTATAGTAAAAGCCACCAATCTTTTATCCGTGATAGTCCTTACCTATAATATATGTCATCTTTTTCTTTTTTTGCCATGCTGTATAATCAGAAAAGCAGATAAACCCTCAATCTCACAAATATTTGACCGGGCCAAAATATATGGAGTGGAAATTTAACAGTACGTGTTGTGTACGCAAAATTTCACACATCCGGCGAATAGTTGATCCCCATTATAAAAATAAAGATCCTAGACAGTTTATCATGCAACTCAAGACCATTTAAAGACTGTGTACCTATCAAGTGTAAAAAGAGAAATATACCTGTTATTGCTATGTACAGGATGCTATTGTCTTCAGCATTTTTGTAAAGGTGCCACAAATCAACACAGGGAGCTACTATCAAAGCGATCGTAAAATCTGTCAAAAAATTAGAACAAGTCGGTCAAATGTTAATTAGAAAGACGAATAACGTCTGAGAGAAGTAAGATTTACATAAATTGACGAAGACGCAGGCGCTCGGCTAAAATGAACTAGTTGCCAGAGCAAATTAATAGTTTGCAAGGGAATTAAAGATAAGGAGACACCCAGAAAGTGAAGGAAATAGCACTTAGGTACACGCTTCATAAGTCGAATTCTACGCTATGAGAATCCTTCTTCGAAACAACTAAGAATTTTGAGTGATAACTATTCGCGCTCGGACGTCGTGGGTTTGCATACTCGAAATTTTGAAGGAAACGGTTGAACAACAGGATTTCTTCAAGCCAACGCCGGGTTTTTAGTATTACTATTCATGCATTATCGTAATACGGTTGCATACTCAATATTTTGAAGGCGAAGAGACTGGTCAAAGAGATTTTTTAAAGACAACTCAAGATTTCAAGCGATAACAATCAATGCTCGGCCTGATACCGGAGCTTTGTAACTTCGAACATATCATTCTTTCGTGCTATTTGAATTTTTTTTTATTTTTTTTTTATTTTTTTTATTTTTTTTTTTTTTTTTTTTTTTTATTTTTTTTTTTTCAAATGATATTTAAAAGTGTTTCTGAAATTCTTCATTCGTAATGATTTGAAGGAAGGAGCACTTAGTTCACGGAATCCAAATTCTCAGGGAGCTTTTTTCGTCGAGTTGGGTCAGATAATCGGATTTGAGATTTCGACGGACGATTATCTTTTTAATGCCCTGGTTAAGTTCATTTCAGTACGAAAAGAGACCGTAAAATTGCATTGTTATCCGACAGCTTACGAACAATTTTTGCCCCGTGAATAGCAGCTCACATAATAATGAATATACGTTTTTCTTGTAACTACGTTTTTTTGGACTGCGAAGTTCAAACCCTCATTCTTCCAATTTAGTCTTCAAAATTGTTAAGTTTTTTGTCCCAAATTATTTTTAGAGCATATGCGTGCAATGTGTGCTCTTAATATTAAGGTAAATGTACAGCATCGAGGCATCACTGGAAATAAACCCACATCGAGATATCTTCATAAAAAAAATTGCTGACATACCACGCGCGGTTTCATTTTGAGTTTCTGGCAAAATACGGAGTACGGACTCATATTAGGCTTAGAGGCACTATTCATTTATCCGAGCTCGAAGTATTGCATTCAAATAGTCAAAATCGAAAGATTAATTTTCGCGTTAGGATACTTTAAAATATAATTTAGATTTCAATTTAGATTTTTTTGGGAATAAATAGCTGCAATATGCACGATCACACATGTCAAAGGTCCGTTTTTTGCCAAAAATTTGAAATTAAACCAGCATTTTAACAAAGTTTGTTCGATATATCAATGTCTGCTTACTCCAGCTGTATAGATTCACCAGAATAGCTCAATTTTAAGCTTATAAGAAATATGCGGTTCCTTCCCTCGTAGACTATCTTATTTCTGACCATTCCATCGAAAAGAGAACGAAAGTTGGACGAACCTTTTCTCAAAACGATTTTTGTATTGGTAAAGTATTCGACAGCTAACGTGCCTTTGGAGGCGTATTGTCGCTTGGCGGCACTGACGATGAACTGGACGGTGTCCAGTATTTTCGAATTTTCGGCGTCGAGAAAGTCGGAGTCGATGACCACGGCTACAACAACAACAACAACAACATAAAAAAATCAAACAAAAAAAGTAGAACTCGCTCCGACTAAAAAACAGTAGAACGCTCGTTTTTCATGGAACTCAAATTTGCTATTGAGTTCTGAGTAAGATAAATATAAATACATATCCACGGCGTAAGTCCGCAACCATGTATCTCGTTTGCGGTGTTTGAAAACTTCCGCCTGTCTATATTATTTTTTTTTAAAGGAGAACAAATTAACATCATTCCTTGGAGTTTATGCGGAATTTTCTTCGCACAGAGAAGAAAAATCACGGCAGTTATTAAAAAATGCCGTTGAGTAGTTTTCCGTTCAAAAAATGAAGTATGACAGGAAGTCTGCGACGTCGCAAACCGAAATACGTGGTTGCAGACTTACACCGTCGATACTCAGTGAGTGCAGAGTGCACGGAGAAAATTAAATTGCTGATTTAACGATTCAATTGCTGAAAAAAGTAACTGCAATGTTTCAATGTAGATTTTACAACAAAAAAATGATACTTTAACCACCCCTGTGGTTAAATTAGCTCACAATAGTGGTTAAAGTAGCATCTTTTTTTTTTTTTTTTTTTTTTTTTTTTTTTTTTTTTTTTTTTTAAAAAAAATCTACATTGAAACATTGCAGTCACTTTTTTTAGCAATCCCTGGTAAACATTGGCGATAGGAGCTGCGTTTCAAAATACCATAGGAGTTCTTATAGCCAACTGAAGAAGGCGATAGAAAATCATATAGCTGGCTGTAGAAAGTGGAAAAAAGCATACGGCCGGGCTACACGAAGCGATAAAAAACTATACAGCCGGGCTATAGTTCCTATCGCCGGCTTTTGTTTTTTCGCCATCGGCTATAAAAGGCTATGAGAAATTGTGCAGAAATTCGTGTGCTTTGTAAATTCTTAAGCTTGTACGGAATCGCCTTAATATTTACAAAACGCACATTATATTTTCCTTTACCAATTTTTTTTTTTCATCAATTAAAATGAGAATAACCCACACAGAGTGTGCAAACATTTCAAAGTCATGAGTTGAAAAACGCTGACTCCACGAGATTGAATATTACAGCCTAACACAAAGCGGAGCGGCGGCGGTGCACCGGTGCCTACAAACCTAACAGGAATACTTCACACATTGCGCAATGCGTGAAGTATCCCCGTTAGGTTTGAAGGCTGACTGCCCGCCCGCCGCGCCGCCGCGCCGCCGCGCCGCAGCGTACCACGGCGCTTGAAGCAACTATTTCACACCAGATGTATTGCACAGTATCATACGAAATTGAAGGCGCTCCAACATGTTAGGAATGGCATGCATCCTTCATAAGTACGCAGCTTTCCTCGCAAAATAAATCAAGATACTACGGCCCAAAAAGAGAGCGGTAGTCTAAAAACTCACGAAGTCCTAGCATCCGTAGAAGTAACGTTTAGCATACACTTTATCGCCATGCTGTTGCTTAGTCGCCATCGGCTATAAAAGGCCATAAGAAATTGTGTAGCCGGCTATAGAAGCTATTGGAAATCTTACAGCCGGTTGTAGGTCTATGGTATTTTGGAACACAGATTCTACTGCCAATTTTTACCAGGGATTGAATTGTTAAATCAGCAATTTAATGTTTTCCGTGTGAGTGAGCGGTTAAACTGTGTTTTCAATGATTATCGGCAGGTATTCATGCGCTAAAATTCTTTTTTAAAAAAAGTGTACTGGCTTGAATGGCGAAACTCGGTAAGTTCGATTTTTGTAAATGCGATAATATTTCAGAGGTAAACGCGCGCAGTGAAAAAATCGTAGTTATTGCACGTTGGGCCTCAGCCAAGTTTCAGTGGGTTCATGCCACCTTGACTCGAGGCGTCTCATTTATCAGTGGATGCTGATGAAGCTATCGCATAACTCAAACGCCAGACTTTTTTTTTAAAGTCACGATGTTGTTCATAAAATTTCACGTAAGTTTGTGCTGTCTCTCAAAGAAAAAAATGTGTAGTTTCAGAGAGATAAAAACAGGCGTATATAATCAAAAATGTTGTACACATACTTGCAATTGGACCGAGTTTATCAGAAATGAACCGACCCACATTCTCGAAAAAATTGAGTCGAGAATGTTTTTGAGTTTCGCTAGCCGTAAATTTTCTCCCGCCAAAAACTGGAAGTCTAAAAAAAAAAGTTCTTGTGAAAAGAGGGGTTAAAGTTAATTTATACATCGAGCCTTATGCAGGAATAAAACTTCAAACCTCCTTTTCTCAGTTTCATCTTGATGTGGGTCAGTTCCTTTCCGATGAGCTCGATTCAATTCTTGCTCCGCGATTTGCGTAAATACTGATACACTCGTCTTCGGAAAAATTCGACTCTATGAGATGGTAATTTTCAACTTTTAAGATCATCTCGCCTGTTGCCTACAGAAAAAAAGGGAAAGTGCGCTCACAGGCAGAAAGACTCACCAATTGAATCATTGTAAATGGGGAAAGAATTGAAGTCCCGTCTAGCAGCCTCAACGTCGGAAGATATTCCCACTAACACTACTGCAAAGAGTGTTAAATGGAACGAAGATGCTATGAAAGCCATCCGAGGCGTTTCAATCAAGCGTTAGCAATCAAATGAATTGGTATCCATTACGTTTAGAAATCAACTCCTGGACATGGAAAATTATGATGAAAATAATTAGTAAAAATCAACGGTAATCATATTTAAACTAATTTGGTTTTCCATTAGATTATTATTGGCAAACGCGTAATTCCTGCACATTGATGGTGAAACGAAAAATCATGTTTTCCGGTTATTGCGACGTTGCAAATTTCCCGCTAAATTGTATTTTGATGCAGAAACTCCGACTGTTTTTAATTCTAAAATGTTGAACGATCGATATCTTTTGCTACCTGAAAAAGTTACCTAAATATCTCACACAGAAATTAGTTTTAATCCTCCTTTGAAAAAAGTTATTTGTGCATATTCTAAGCATTCAACGATCGAGAGAGGTGAGTTAGTCTTTAACCATCCATCATCGATGTAAAAGAAGTAAGTACTTATTTAAATTCGAGCTGGGAGCTCAGAAGTACGACTGGTTGCATCAAACAGAAATGAAGGCGTTTTCAGAACTGACATTTCAAAAACCGCTGGACTCAGAATGTCAGAGGAACGAAGATTGGTGTAAATGCACGGCAAAGAACATAAGTTCCCAAATATCTTGGATGATAACTGAGATGCCTCCGACAAAAGTAAATTCTAAAATTGCCGAATTTGTTTACAGCCCTGCATGCCGGCTAAAAATCAAATGCACGCGATCGTTTCGCAATCTCTCTCTTTGTTTTTATCTTACACTCCAATTAAAGAAAATTAAGTAGGAATAACGGAGCATCGGTTCTATCACTTGCTTTCAATATCAAAAACAAGGTGCGCATACGATGGATTCGATCAAAAAAAGGACTCGCGATGAGATTTAAAACAAATGTGAGAAAACTAAGCCCTAATTACGTAATGTGATCATAATGGAAGGAATTAATTTGTGCTAATTTGTAACTATTGTTTTTCTTACCTTCCGGACACAGTTCACTCCGAAGACACCCATTCAGTGAAGAGAAAATTTCGAAGTTTTTCCAGGTACGATGCGAGTTAATATTTTTATTCCACCCTGGACCAAGAACGTGAAAAAATGAGCCATGTACTTTCCAGGAAAAAGTATACGTTTAGAAACTACAAACGCTGAGGCGTTTACTATAGCCTTGTGAAAATTAACTCTAAGAATAACTCTTTATAAGAGACACGTACACGTTACGGACACGGTGGAAATACGGACGGATAAACTCGATTTCCTTCGCTCTCATTTCCCCTCTCCAGCTGTGCGACCCTATGGGTCTTGAATTAACAAGTGAGTTATATGTTACCAGGTCATCGTTCCAATTTGAAAAAAAGGTCAGTCGCACCCTCTCTTGTTTTATAGCAAATAGCAAGAGCGGAGTATGAGAACTATTTTGATAGCCAATCAAATCGGGAGATTTTATGAAAGATTTATATCGTAACCTAATTGACAATATCGAATGGCATGAACATAAATGAGGCTACTGGTTCCAAAGTGTGCAATGTCCATAGAAGTGGTTTTGTCACAAAAACGCAAAAAACTGTTTAGAGTTTCCTGCGTTTTGCTGCGACCTACCTTTTCAATGCTGCTGATTAAAAAAGATTTTGGCTGTTTTGGCATACAATTAAATTATTTTCCGATTCTCCTCTATTAGTTGATCAAGAATCCACTCCTAACTCAATTTCGACCGAAATGGACATTGTACACTTTGGAAGTGTTAGCCCCAGGTGTACTTTCTACTTTTTCTTTTGGCAGCAGGCATAGGGGTCAGGATTTGACAGACACTCAGGTGAGGTTTGTTAAGGAAAGATGAGGGAAGGATCCTGAGGGTTCTACGGCTGAAAGCAGGCAATTATAAAAGTCTTTGGGAATCTTTGAATAAGAATTTCAAAAAACCAATCAGGGAGGGAAGGAAAGAGGGACACGAAGCTTGAATTTAAAGTCGTGATTTTGCACCAGAAAATCGCAACTTAAAGCATTAAATGCTCATCAGAGCTTTAAAAGTAATGAATATGGAGCCAACGATAATTAAGGGACTTGGAGGACAATGCGCTGCAGTTTTTGCTAGTCCGAGAAATGCGTGCGTTTAAAGTTTCGAAATGACATGGATCCTTACGGCGGAAAGAAAGTTCATACTGATTTTTTGATGCTTAAAAATTTGAATTTGGGAGCGAATTTTTTACATAATATGCATCAAGACTAGTTTTACTTGAAATCATTAATATCTCTAGCTTTTCAAAAACTGCACTTATGCGCATAGTCCTCCAAGCCCTTTAATTATTTTAGTGCCAAAGAGGATTATATTATGTTATTCACACAAAGAAGTAAAAAGAACTGTAAGTATTATCTTACTTGGATACTTTCCTGTTCCCTATTAATCTTTGGTAATTCTCAAGTTAATATCATTTGTTTGCTTCATTTTGTTGAGTGTGAGGTACCACACTGAATAATTTCAAATTGCATTCAAAATTTAGCACCTCTCATAATCTCATTTTCAATGGGGAAAAATTATTGCCGTTAATATTTTTGATAGAAATAAGATAATGAAAATGCCAAATCTCAAATTTTGAAAAAACGGCGCCCTTAGTCGATAATTCAAATATCAACGACAACACACCATGGTTGACACGGTGCTGTCAGCCAAGCCTGAAGTTCATAACAACGCCTGTACGGAAGCAACTATACCTGCTCTATGGATGTCTGTATTGCATATCCAATCAAATGTAGGCGCACTGGTTTTCATACGCTACACGTGGCACGTGGTTCGCCATGCTTCGACCCGAAGACAATATGCGTAATGCACCGAGATGTCAAGTCACTATACAGCCGTGCTAAGGCAAAATGCTTTATAAAACTTCGTCGGTTGTCAAATTTCCTTTGAAGAGATGCATATTTTCAAGAAAACTTGTGAATATACGTTCCATTCAATTTTTCAGAGAATTTCCTTTGCAATTTCATCTAAGTAGGTATATATCATCTGACAATTTCAAGAGAAAGTATTCATAACTAACTCTCCTCAAAATTGAACATTTTTCTGGAGGAAATTTTGCAATTCGAATGTTCGCATGGCGGTTTTCCTTAGCACGACAGTATATTGCTGGCAAAGATTTCCTCAAGAGACTTGGAGGAATATAGAAATCAGAGAAAGCAAACCCTTTTAATTATGAACTAATAGCAAAATTTCATAAACCATGACTGTCTTTGGTAAAACCTTTAACACTTAACTCTTATACTGCCAGTATGAAAAACTTAGAGCTTTAAATCGCTCGTGCAGTTTCAAAAGATGCTTTTAAACCCAAGCAGTATTGCAATAATTATTCCTACAATCTATTAAAACAAAGACTAGCTAATCAGTGTTAAGTTTACCACTTTCGATTTCCTCTTTCGGCAAAGTAAGGGCAAATTTTAACAATTTTTGTCCATCGGCTAATATCCCTTTGGATCACAGCGGATAAGTAAGTAGTACCAGGGACCCAGTACCCCCCCCCCCCCCCCCCCCNCGCTGGAAGCAGGCCAGGAGAAAAAGAGACCTAGGAGTGAAAACACTTTTCCTGAAGTCCAGGTGCGACAAAATCGAAAACCCGGTCCTGGGGGCAACGTGTAAAAATGTAAAGGCACCCTGTGAATAATGCGTAATTTCTTGCAATGAAGGGAGGGACAGTAAACTACAAAATGACGTCATCAAAGGGGGGGAAAAAAGTAAACAAACACCCACTGAGCACTGTGGCGCTGTACCCCCCGCCCCTCCTTCCCAGCGACCAGCCGCAACAAATGCAGTGCAACCTATGTGCAACTTGTGCAACTAACAATTGCGTAGTTAAGTAACAGAATAACCAATCAGAGTTCAATATGACGATGTCACAACTCTCCCCAACCAAATTCTTCAGGGTGAAACGTGATAAGTGAACGCCCGGGCATGGTTCGGGAGTTTGTGTGTGTGTGAGCGAGCGCACGGACGGAAAATTTTTTGGTGATACGAATACCGTGTTGTTGTTGTCTTATCCTGTGGTGACATGATGCACCGTCTCGTTTCTGTCTAGTTTTCTCTCGAATTGAACAACGCAGTTGCTCATGAATTGTGATTTATTCTGACTTACTCGATGCAGTTGTGTTAATTTTACCCAGATATCATCGTGATTGGATTTCCGAAAAGAAATCGCTTGAAGTTGTTGTGATTTGTATTTTATCTCGTCGGATCTTGTGGTGGCAAGTACGAGGTTAGATTGCTTTTCGGTGGAGCAAACTAAATTTGTGGTTTTGTGCACCCCTGAGAAGAACTGGATACATAATCCTGATGTAATTTTCTCCCTGTGCCCCTCATGTGATACTCCTCAGCAATGACTCAATCACATACTACACGAGACACTGTTATTCATCTAGTGGCCGGAGGGTAAGTTGTGCACCGCCTCATTTTCTCTCGTATGAAAATACTGCAACAACTGTTTTACTGTCGAAAGCGCCCTCTTGGTTCATTTCAGGACAAACTTCAATGTACACGACGTATTCGATGCAACTGAATAGTGCCAGGCGCAATCATTAGCGTTCACTTGATGATGAAATTAAGTCTTTAAGCATGATGCGACTTACATCAGTAGGTATCCCGAGCGAAATTTTGATATCTGACCCCTCCTCGATATCGATATTGCCACCACTTACTAGCGGAATGTATGAGGAACCTCTGTCCGTATATATATATGCTGTAAAACAGGAGGCGGATCCCAAAATTCTACTAAATCATCATTTGGTAGAATTTTGGAATCTCCTCTGATCTGTGACCTATAGAAATCTCTTATCAACCCTCTCAAGTCGAGACCTAATTTTCCTGCTTAGCCGGCGCAAGTTGGTTAAAAAGTGCCTCTCCATTATTTAGAATTTTTGTAGTATGTTGGAGGTGACGTTGAATTTCTCGTTTAAGCTATGCTTCTAACATACTCATCGGAGGAAGTCTGCTTATTAGTACAAACAATTTTCAAGGGAAATTCACTATAAAGTGTTGTAAACTCTACCCGAGGAAGCATTGTATCTTAGGTCTGGGTAGTGAGTCCAAATGCTCTGCATCTTAGCAGACAAATCAGTCAGCGGAAGATATCAAGTCTAACGTTGTTGGGAAAGTCCCTTTACCTATAACAGTGCTGATCTCATCAGGAAATGATAAATTGTAAACATGCAGCTATACACTGGGAAACATTTCCTCGATAATAAGATGCAGTTTCAGATTTTGGTCATCTGGGCCTACAGAATCTAGTTTATTCTTCATATATTTAAGTATTACTGCCCTATAAGCAAATTCGTAAAAATTAGCCTGATTCTGTAATAGAGTACAAGCTCTCTCTTATTTTGGTAACAGTTGAAGGAAGCGGAGTATCAAGCTAGGTTTTTATAGAACACAAGGATCAAATTACATAATGATTTGACCATTAAAAGCAACAGGTCAAAGTCCCCAAAGTTCATTTTTGTGGTCATTCATCTAATTGATGGAGGACAGTTAAATCAAAGGATTTCAGGTCAGGCTTTTTATACATCGATTTAGGTGTGAAGTTTCCACAATCTTGGGAGGTATCGAATATTTGATAAATAAATGAATAATTCTCACATGGAGTATTGGAAGAGGTTATGTCATTGTTTGGAACTGATGCAATACCATTGAAACCATTTCAACAGTTATATTGACATGGATTCAAACGATACCTACAACATTTCTCATTACCACCAACTGAAATTAATTTACAGCCATCAAATATATTATGCTTACCAATGACGCAAGTTCGAAAAATTTTCAGAGAAATTATGTCAGCTTGCACTGAAACAATGTGAACACTCAGTACTGAGCATAAACTATGATGTGAACTGATGATGTCAAGTATGAAAGAGAGGCATGACTTCAACGAACATTATTATGCCCCCTATAGTGAATATGTGTCATAAATTATTTGGCCCTCTTTTCCATCTTAAGTAACTGCCTCTGTAACCTTTTTTGTATTGTTTTTTTAGACCGATGCAATTTTTTTTCCAATATTTGCCTTTTAAAAAAGCCCTTGATTAGTTAGTTTAAAGTTTAAAAAATTATGCCAACTCAGTGATGAACTCTTTGTACCAATCATTGAGAGTGAATACTATATTCTCAATTCATCAGCAAACCAAATAACATGGCACTTTGACTTAATCTAATCCAAACAAAACATTTTTCTTTGCAGGATCGCAGGCACTGCAGGTGCCATTGTAACATGCCCTCTGGAAGTTGTTAAAACACGCCTGCAGTCGTCACAAAGCGGGTTCCATATGTACAAAATGAATGTTCCTCCAATTGCTTCGACTGAAGGCGCCAAAAGCCAAGTAACCTGTAAAAGTATTATGTCCGATCAGCGTCGGAAGCTCAACACTATTAGTCCCAAACATTCAGCTCAATTATTTGCCTTGACACATTGTAGTGGAGTAAGCAGGAATGCAAATGTTAACAGTTCTGCTGGTTTAATTCAATGCATTAAGTAAGTGTTAATTTATTCTTCCTTTATTTTATTTACTTCTTTCATTTCCTTAGTCTTCTCTACTAAATTGCACAAAATTATTCTGTTTGACTTCCGAAGCAAAAGGAAGCCTGACTTTGGACGTACTGCTCTCTTACTTTACTCGTTTCTTTACAAAAAATATGAATTTCATGATGTTCATAGTAAAAGTAACTAGTTCAATTAACATAAATAGGTAAGTCAAATTTTGAAGAAAAAGGGGTTGCAAAAAATCTAGTTGACACTGACTGACCATTTCTGGGAAGGCAGCACTCCTCTATGAATAATATGGTATTGAGAATTGAGAATGCCCTCTTGCTATCACAGTCATTCTGAGGGACCAGCTCCCCCCCCCCCCCCCCCCCCCCCCCCCCCCCNGAGCCCTTTTCTGAACTATGCAAACCCAGTGGCTGTTGCTGAAATCTTATTTCCTGTTGACTTGATTTGCCATTGAATCCCTGACCAAAGCTGTAATTTCTATCAAATCCTTCTTGGCGTGGTTAGCACCCCTAGAACAAGTTCCCATGGGTCACCAGGCATTGTAATTACTTCAAGAGAATTGTTGACAACTGTTTACTTCTCTCAGCAATTGATATGGTTTAAATGATCACATGTGAATCAGTGTAGTAATGTAACTCAATGCCAATTTGGTAGAAATTGCAGCAAAGGCATAAGGGGAATAGCCACGTAAGCAACATCTTGCCTCACCTGTTTTTGTTGCACTTGAAAATTTAAAACTATCTCGGGTGAAGAGCAAGTGAAATGGAAGATTTTAGCTCATACTACCGTGCCAATTTCCCTCTCTCTCTCTCATTGATTAAAGAGGATAATTGGAGGTAGGTGAGAAGCAAAACACACCGTATTCTTTGAATCAGTCGAAAGTGGATGATAAGTTAGAAGCGATTTGTATGGCCTAACATTTTGAAGAGACCCTTGAAGTAAAATTCAAGTATTACGTAAAGCACTTTTATGGTTCTTTGACCGGGGCCCTTCTTCCCCTGAGTGCGTTGTGTAATATTTAAATGACCAGTAAATTCCGCTTGAGAGATATTCTGGATCTTCTAGAACCCTCCCCAGCTCTCAAGACTTTGAAATTCGTTCTTTTTTTTAAGTGGGACGATTTTGATACATTTTTCTTGGAAAGTAGGATAAGTTTAAAAGACACCCACTACCTAAAATGACTACTCTTCCCTCCAGCAGCTCATTGTGATCATACATTCACCATGCTGTCTGAGATGGTCTGAACGCTACCATGAAGGTGAACACACTATGTAGATGGCCAAAGTGCAAAACCACGTAACTCTATGTGGTGTTTCAGAATATCTGCTCCTATTATTTTTATTTTTTGAGGAGGAACAACCCAACTTTAGTGAAACTTTTAGTGTGAAAGTTACACGGAATATGCTGCTAACATAGAAGAAAAATCAAGGAAGTTTTCAAGAAATTTCACTAACTAGCTTTCCACAGAAAAAGCAACCAGAAATGACATTAACTAGTTTTCCACAGAAAAAAAAAGTACGACAGGAAGTCTGCAACATCGTAAACGAAGATACGTCGTTTTGAACTTCGGTCATCGATATGCACCATGTTCTCCTCACGAAAGGTGTTCTGTATTTTCCAGAACCCTCTCAGTCCTTTCACGGCTTAGGAAATTTATTGATCTCTCTTTAAGTGCAACAATCTCAATGAATTTTATCGAAAACTGGGAGAGTTTAAAAGCCTCCCCNGGTCCCTCCTGGAACTCAACGTAATCCTGTATGCGCCAAGGTGTCCGGAATCAGAGTACCTGTATACGGGAGAGTATTGCCATCTCAACCCTTTTACTACAGAAAGTGTGCCGCTCTCTGATTGGTTGGCTATCATGGAGCCCCAAAGTTGCCCCAATGTAAACAAACCCCAGCCCCTCCGCTCCTAGTTCGGCCCAACGTAAAAAAACAAGAGGGCGTCAAAGTTCTACAAAGTTCTAGACATGTTTTTGGATGTGATAGAAATTTTTTAAAATCCAACTTCTGAATTGAGTTCGGATCGAACTTGGATGAATATTTTTGCCGAAAATTACTTAAGCTTTGAGTGTGATTATCATTCATTCCTCAGCCGATAACACGTTTTCCTTAGAGTACCAGTACCTGTATAGGGAGAGTACCAACAGATCGGTTCATGGAGGGCTTAGGGCCCAAAAGTGCAGCCTAGAGTACCTGTATAGCGAGAGTATGGACAGATGTGAAACTCCGAAAATCCATCAGGCCTTCACCGATGCTTCTGCGAATAAAGTTAGGGCCCAGAAATGCAGCCAACCTATGAATTTCAATTATCCAGAACGATTTACTAATACTATTGTTACGAACCGTCCTTTATTAAGCACGTGTTTGACTCAGTTTTTGCATAAATTTACTCAATTTCGCGGAAGAACGCTCATTTCTGTACATTCTTTGCCATCATGGTTAGAATAGTTAGAATTGGAATCTGCAGACTGGCAGTGAAATTTTGTGCATTAGAAGTTGGTTAGAAGGGTGGCTGCACTTTTGGGCCCTAAGCCCTCCATGAAGCGATCTGTCCATACTCTCGCTATACAGGTACTCTAGTGCAGCCACCCTTCTAACCAACTTCTAACGCACAAAACACTGCCAGTCTGCAGATTCCAATTCTAACCAAGATGGCCAAGAATGTACAGAAATGAGCGTTCTTCCGCGAAATTGAGTAAATTTATGCAAAAACTGAGTCAAACACGTGCTTAATAAAGGACGGTTCGTAACAATAGTATCAGTAAATCGATCTGGATAATCGAAATTCATAGGTTGGCTGCCCTTTTGGGCCCTAACTTTATTCGCGGAGGCATCGGTGAAGGCCTGGTGGACTTTCGGAGTTTCAGATCTGTCGGTACTCTCCCTATACAGGCACTCTAGTTTTCCTCTGGGTCGGGTTTGTTTACATTGGGCCAACTCTGGAGCTCCATGATAGCCCAAAACTGACGAACCAATCAGAGAGCGGCACAGAGATGGCAATACTCTCCCGTATTCAGGTACTCTACCAGTGCCACGGTGTCCGAAACGGCCTAAGCGCCACCGTGAGGGCGACCCCGGTGGATGCACCACGAGGGGCCCCTTCCGTGGCCGGAGTCAACAACTGCCGAAATGTGTGACAAACAAACAAAATAGAATGTAAACAGAGAGACCGTGGAGAGCGAGAGAAAACAAGCCCTCGTCTGGGAGTCGCGACCCATCATCGTCGCGGCGGCGGAACCGCACTAATTTCCGCCGCCGATGCCTAGCCGTGAAATAAAGCGCTTCTTAAAATAGAATAGTATAATATGTGTATTAATGCATCCGAGCCGAGCCCGAGGTCCCCCCGCCGAGGCCGCACAAGGGTTCCAAACTCCAAGAGAAATCGGACGTAGATAGAGTACCTTTATAGACAGAGTATGGCCATTCGTATCTTTTTACTACAGGAAAACTGTTCCGCTTTTTGATTGGTCAACGAGTTTTTAGGCTTCATGATGCTCTTACGGCCGTAAATAAACAAACAAGATGGCGGCTCACCGTAACATCGATAAGAAGCTAAATTTGACAAAAATTTCAATTATACGGCAGTAACAATTTAAACTAGCATATCTACGAATAACACACGAAAAACACATGAAAACATAGTTAAATCGCCTTTCACCTGTGCGTAACCTCAATCTTCCTTGCTGATAACAGCCATCTTGTTTGTTTATTTACGGCCGTAAGAACATTGTGTCAGCCTATTTTCACGCGACCAATAAAAAACCGGAACAGAAATGGCCATACTCTGTCTATAAAGGCACTCTAGACGTAGAAGTTTCACAAATTTTCGTGTTTATTTCGTCCTATTTTAAATCTGTAAGGAGTGATTCTGAAATGAAATTCGATGAATGAACCATTTTTAAACTTCCACTTTTTTATATCAACGAATATATAAGCTTTTGTAGTCTCAACATCATGTCCGACCTTTTCGACGGACGCGGTCCACTGTACGTCGCGTTGCGTCTTCATCTTCATTCCGATCTCCGAGGCTTGTGAGGCCGCCGACCGCGACTTATCATCGTCCGAGAATAGGCTCCATTCAAAGGCTATGTGTCGGTCACTTCATGGCTCTTTTTAAATCGCATGCATAAGCGGCATCTCGGTGCAGTGGCGATACTCAAGAGTTGGCAACGCTGTTTTTCCTCCTTTTAAATGTACGTAAAACAATCGATTCTTAGTGAGACCTGAAATCGATATTTTTAATGAATGGAGATGTTGCATGTGTGAGGAATTTGCGATTTGACTGTTGATTCTTATGTGAAAGTTCGCGAGAAACACGATGGTGCTACTGGTTTTCTCTGAAATCATCTTTTAAGCTCAAAAACAGCTCTCAAGTTGAGGCCAAAATGAAGGGGATATCCCACCCTACCCTGAGAGTCCACATCTACATCAAGACAAACTATCCATGCAAAGATAGGGAGCAAATACATTAACAGGGTTGCCACTTTATTTGGGGACTCTAAAACTGAAAACACGGCAACCCTGCTATTATATTTGCTCCATATCTTTGCATGGAGAGTTTGTTTTGATGTAGAGTTGGACTCTCAGGGTAGGGTGGGATATCCCCTCCATTTTAGCCTCACTTTGAGAGCTTTTTTTGAGCTTGGGAGTTGATTTCAGAGAAGACCTCGAGTTAGGTTCAATGGTCAATGGTTCAATGGGAATCAATGGTCAAATCGCAAATCCCTCACACATGCAACATCTCCATTACCCCTGTCTCGGCTCCGATCGTTATAAAGTCGCTAAAAAAAGTACCCTTTTAGCGGTTGCTCACTATGCATTACGAGATCGTGATTGGATGGCCGCGCGCGTGGAACATAAGAAAGTTTTAAAAATTGGAAAGACCACCTCGTAGTAGCGGCGAAATCGTTTTGCGAAAACAGCCATCAAATTTCCGTGTTTTACCTAGAATCGCGGAGAAATTCGCGTGTCCCTCGCAAA